TAAAGTGAAAATTCATTCATATTCATATTGTTAAATCTTTATTATTATAATATTTTTGAAATATACATGCATTTTCATGTATTTATTTTCATACGTTTGTCAGACGAGCGTTGCGATGGCCGAAAGCAGCCTTGAATGCGAAAAGACTGCGGCGATAAGTTAGTAAAAACAAATTAAGAATTAAAAATTAAAAAATTAAATAAAAAAGCGAATGTCATTTCCATTTGTTGACTTTGGGAAAACGAGGCATAAATCAAAAAACGATGGGACGTGGGATACTTCCGTGCTGCTGACGCACTATACAAACCTATATTTATAAAGAGCGAGAGAGAGGGGGGACAGGGAAGGCTCTCTCGCTCTCTCCTGTGACACAGATGCGTGCGTGCGCCAAGAGTCAAGTGCGTGGGCCTGGACCTCTTTGGCCAGCTGCCAATTCGAATGCAGAGTGGGAGAGAGAGAGAGAGAGAGAGAGACAGGGCGGCGAGGGAGGTGGGCGGGCAGGGTGTCTGTCTGTCTGCGGCCGTGTGTCGCTAATCTGGGCGGCATTATAAATTGAACCGATTTGGTTGCGTGCCATAATTTATACGCCAGTTTGGAGGGCAAGGGCAAAGCAAGTGAAAAACAATACGCGAAAACGAACTTGAAATATTTCATAATTGGTTTGAAATCGAAATGAAAACATTTCACAAACACTCACTGCGTACATACATATATGATATATGATATGATGTATATAAATTTAGATACTTTTATAAAATAAATCCAGCATATGTTAGCTGAAGTCTTATACTTATGATTTACAGGCCTGAAAATGCGTTTGGTTTGATCACCAACTAAAAGAGCTCTGTATAAACTCTTATTTAAGCTGTTATATACATATGTATGTATGATATGCAGAAACTCGTATATAAGATCTTCGGCACATGTGTAGTAGAGTTAGGTCAGTGTCTTAATATAACAGCCGCATTATGCGTGAGTTAGTCAAGTTTCAAACCACTGCAGAGTTCAGCTTGTGTGCAGAATCAAATAGCTAGCTCATACTGTTCTTTTCAGAATTATATACATAGAGCCACACATTTGCATTTGCATTTGATGTTAATATAACATCAGCTTACACAACCACATAATGCGCAGCTTAGTCAAGCTTTCAACCACTGTGGATTGGGGAGGAAGACCAGTAATCATTTAATTAATATATGTGTAATTTTATATGAGAGCTTTGCAGGCGCTGTCTCATGACAGCCCACAGCAGAGCAGCTGCAAACCGTCTACGCGTACACTTATACTTGTGCATAATCTCTGTGCTATGTTAATAAAAATGTTGTATTTGTGCGGTGCTTAGTCAAGTTTTGAACCACCAAACGCGACTCATAGCCTCAGCTTGTGTTAGAGCAGAAACACCATGCAACCATTGGGTCAGTCGGCAAAAACGCTTTTATAAGTCTACATAGTATGTTGTGAGGGGGAATAAAAATAAACAGAGCAGTCAATCAGCAGACAGAGGACAGAAGACTCTTACATACATATGCATAAGTTTATCTTATAAGACTGTGTTATAATTATGTGCTCCTTAGTAGTCAGGTTTCCAACCAATTCATAAATTTAAAGAGTGATTCAAACTACATATAAGATTTGTATTACACTGTCTTATACGACTGCCTTAGTTCAGTTTCCAACCAGATTAT